TTTCAGTACGATATGGTCGATTTTCGTTGTTTATTTACAAACTCGCTAAATGTCAAACTCGACTCGCTGCGCGCTCATCGTCGACGATGGGACAGGTCTTTAGGTTCATGTCAGGGTCGTGTTAATTACATAAACTATTATGTAAGTGAATATATTTTTGATATAAAAAAAAATAAGTTTCGTTCTTGAGTTAAATATAGCAAATGCGCAAGCGATCTTGTCTTTGGACTCACTGCCCCAGTCGCTGGACCGATGGAGGGGCGCGGACAACGTGGGGAGACCACGGCCATTCTCTTCGGTCCAGTCGGCACATTAGTCGTCCCAGGACAGCTCAGTCTTCGTAGTTCTCAGTAGGAGCCAGCTGTAGGGCGTCACTCCTGGCAGGATTCAAGCCATTGTATTATGTATATATGTCGATGTAGGTGTGCTGAGCACGCTGCGCTCCTAACCTCCCCCCCTCCCCCCATCTCACCCTGCACATACTTCACCCCTGCCCTGAGTGGCAGGGAGATTCTGCCCCCACTGGAGTTTGCCCCGAGGCCCGGTCCGTGCCTCCATAAGGGGGTACGACGACCCTTCTTGCTTCTTGCTTGCGATCTTCTAGCAGTCTAGCTAGACGCATCACTCGACCTGAGTACACCGGACGTCTTGCCTGTTAGGCCACCATGAGTTAAATTTTTGTCACTACTACGGGTATAAGAGAATCACTTATGACTAGAGGTAATCGTCATTAAATACATACAAAATACTTACAAAATACTTGAAGCTCTTAATAAAACTCATAATATCTATAAAATAATCACAATAACATTGAAATGAGTAAATTTATATGGCACTTTTTAAAGAAAAAGAACTTATAAACACCAACAGTCGTTATTGAAATAAACGAAGACTTCATGAAGTTATATTCGATAAATAAATTGTTTTATTTATGTACATACTTATTCGCCAAGGATGATAAACTCCCGAAAATTCCAACGTTATTTTGAAATAAATTATGTAATGAAAAAATTAAGAAATTGTATTCGAAACTTGTGTAGCATGGCCATCCCTTCCTTTGAAAGTGGGACGCGAATAATCAGTCGAATTTCAATACTCGAATCACAGCCCGAATTATTGAAGTTCGGTTGGCAACACATCTACGAAAAATATTTGATACAAACACACATTTTTTTTGCTAACTACGATTAGATTAAATATGTTCCGCGCTACTAACTTCAGTCCATTCTCGGATGTTTCTCAACAGGCTTTTTCGCCGTTCAATTCGTCCAAATTCACTCGTCATTTTCAATTGAATCAGCTGATATCTATAAAGTTGCCGGTTAGTTAATTGCCTGGAAAATACAGAAACGCCTTATTTTAAATACATAAAAAATTGGAATAACAGCGAACTTGGAAAACGGTGGGGTAATACAGAAAGAAGAAAAAAACGAAGTGTATTTTAATTTTAGTATCATCGCCAAATAAAATAAAGATAAATGGCAATGGAACGGTTGAAATGATGATACTGGTGTTTTTGGGTGCAGTTGAAGTAAAATAAAGGTGTGTATAAAAATCAAAATTTAAATTTCGATTTCTCGACAAGCGTTCCTTTGTTCGCTTGTTTTTTTTTGTACAATTATACAATGACGGTATGAATACTCGTAAATACGGCTGGTTTTTATTTAATTCTCGTAGCTTTGTCACTAACCAGATATGTGCCACAAAAGTTTAATATTTACGTGCGAGCATGTCCGTGATTTCGGAAACGAAAGCTTGGATTTGTCTACCTACAGTATAAAAAATATATGTAGTTAATTTTTCTGCGAAACTTAAATCTGTTCGTTCTTTTATTATTATTATCTAAAGTATACTATTATTAGTAAGTAAGTATACTATAGGTATAAGTAAGTATACTATTATTATTGTTATCTAAAGTTAATATCGAATACAATTTTAACGTTCTGAATGAAGTCGGTGGAGCACGAAGGCTGGACACGAACGTATTGTCATTGTTAGGTAATACGTGACAGGTTATCATATTCACAGCTGCGAAATCATATTATTTAATAATACAAAAGATATAATAAATCATAAACGAATAAATTAAAATATAATACACTTGGATGTGTAGAATATAAATTGTCTCACTTTTATATTCGTTTTGATGATACAAGCTCGTGCGTTAGGGTAAAAATGGATTTGATGGAATTTGAACCTTTTGATTTTTGTTATAAATCGAAAAATACGGAAACTTCATAGTTATGAATTTAAGGATTTACTTTGTCTTGAGAGGAGTTAATTTATAGGAAAATGTAGAAGAAATTTAAGGATTTACTTTGTCTTGAGAGGAGTTAATTTATAGGAAAATGTAGAAGACGAAACTGATTCAGTTTTCGATCCTTTCTCTTTAGTAGCTTTAAACCTTTTGATAAGGCCTCAAATAATAACAAAAAAAAATAGAATCTGCCAAAATAATAAGCATTCTTAATAATATAAAAGTATAATAATAGCTTTAAGGTTATTGGGTATTTAGTGAAACTCCGAAACATTAATTTGGAACACAATATCTAATGAAATATTACTTGACATTAAAAACTTAACGGCTTGGATAGTTAATGTCACGTAAATAGGACAATCATATCGCAAGTAAGAAGATTATTGACCAATTAATTTACAGATGTTATTTGAAAAATAAGTTTAGAAGTTTTATAAAATCTGTTTCTAACTTTGTCGTATATGAGTGAGCCCGCATGGTTAGGTACCACTAACTTGTCTATTTGTAGCGAAGCACTCTTGCGTTCCAGTTTGGAGGTTAGACAGACTTCGAACTAAACTCAAACTCAAACTGTTTTAAAAGAATGGTGAAGGAACACTACTTATCTTCTTAGTGCTGTTTGTTTGCATCATCATTTATTATTTCCATACTGTGATGTATTATGTGTATGTAAGTATATTAGTATGTATTGTATGTAAGTATGTATATTGGTATATAAATATAGGTATATATTTCATATTATATGTAAACGGTATATATTTTGTTTATTGTATGTATATATTTTCTATAATGTATTATCTATAGTACACCGCAACATACCTGCTATATTTTTTTATATTTTCCAGAATTTCTATAAATTAAACGGTTGTCTGGAAGAGATCGCTTTTAGCGATAAGACCGCCTATTGTACAAATGTATCTGTTTTTTTTATTTGTTTTTTTGAATGTAAATTGTGTTTTGATGTGCAATAAAGTGTATTCTCTCTCTCTCTCTCTCTCATTGTGGGTGGCGGAATTCACGATACGATGTCTGTGTATTCCAATCACTAAATTGGTCAGCAGTGATCATATCCTCTCAACTAAAATACTTTCATTCAAGATTCTGAAATCGGACAGAGGCCACGACCCCTCGGCATTGAGGATTTACAAGGCGACGGGGAGGAATTTGCGCTATTCACGTCTATACAAACTAAGGCTCTCATTGTGATGGATGCTTTGGGTCACAACGTAACACCATCGCCTTGAGATGAGGTTGGAGTCTTAGTAACATTAATCGGATTTGACGCACAGAGTATCTCGTCCTTGAGGGTGAATGTCTTAAATGAGAACTTACATAAGGAACAAAAGAACCATATAGGATGTGAAGAATAACGAGCAGATCTATACGCAAATACAATTGTCTATACTATATATAATTTTATAAAGAGAAAATATTTGTTTGTTTGTTTGTATTGAATAGGCTCCGAAACTACTGAAACGATTTGAAAAATTCTTTCACTGTTTGGAAGCTACACTATTCCCGAGTGACATAGGCTATAATCTTTTTTGAAAAAAATTAGGAATCCTTACTAAAACCCTAATAATGTAACGCAAGGTGTAAAAAACCTAAAAATTACCTAAAATATTCTTTACATCGCGTGCCCTGCGGAAACTATTCGTGATAGAATAAAATAATTTATTACGACTTTATAGAACACATTATTATTTACAAATAGTGTTGCGACAGCATATGTCTAACTATTATAGTTATGCCGCAATAAGTGTTATTTTATTTTAAACAATAAAACAACGTCATAATAATATATCGTTGAAATTTTTTTTAAAGACGCGAGCGAGCTGGAGCGTTCCCCTAGTCTCTATCTATCTAATATATAAAATTCTCGTGTCACAATGTTCGTTCCCATACTCCTCCGAAACCGCTTGACCGATTCACATGAAATTTTTTATGCATATTCAGTAAGCCTGAGAATCGGCTACTATCTATTTTTCATACCCCTAAGTGTTTAGGGTTGTCCACCCCTAACATATTTTTTTTATTTGGACTTTTTTTGGAGTTTACTCCTTAAGAATCGATTTACATATATAGGCCCGGGGTATGAAAATTATGGGGACCAAAATCGTACTAGAGAGTATAGCATGTCACACGAAATGCGTTATGCGCCTGATTGGCTCCTGATTGGCCAATCAGGAGCCAACGCGCGGCCGCGTTATCGCAGGTGACGCCGGGCTGCTGCGCCGGCAGTCCGCCACAAAGCCTCGTACTGATCGCGCGTTTCTCTCATTATTGTATTTTCATATATTTGTTAGTCGTTTGTTTTGTGTCTCGTTAATTTGTTAATAATCTGTAGTGTATCGTGTTGTCGTAATATAGAACTATTTCTCGTATTGTTTCGTTTAATTTTTTATATCCAGTAAACTCCAGTCGTGCGTCGGAGCGGACACACACACTTTTTNTTGCTAATATTCTCTATTTTTGGCCATTCGACTCCAATGTGGGCTATACTCTTTATTTTATCATCCCAACGTTTTGGCTTCCTATTTTTTTTGATACAGCCGTCCCGTGGGTTAGAAATCAATAAAAATGAAAACAATAAAAAATATCGAGCAATTTTTGTTTTGCGGACCCATTTGGCGCCCCTTTTTGAGTACCGCCCGGTGCATTATGCCCCCCCCCCCCTCCCCGCTGTGCAACTGCTTAGATACCTGTTAAGGATTCATCTTTTTAATTCACCTCTTTGTTGCAGTGTATGAAAGCATACGTCGAATTCGAAGTCTGCAACGGCGCTTATGAGGTTTCATGCCCTGACGCGAGGTGCAGGCTGGGCGCCGCCCTCGCCTTAGACGAGATCTCCGCTCTCGTTGAACCCGCTGTTATGGAGAAGCATCTCAAATTCAGGCTCAATCATGGTGAGTAGGAACTCTGCTTTCGTTAATTAATGTGCATAGATGGGATGGGACGAGCTCAATGTCTGCCTGGTGTGGACAACGGCTGTCCCACCCTTCAAACAGAAAGTGCTTTAATAGTCTGAGCGGTGGTACCTATCCGTGCGGACTCACAACACGCCCTACCGCAAGTAGTATTAGTGAAGGATCTCCTCTGATGACGATGCAGCAGGATTGTTGATTAAATAAACATAATACAAACCTAAAAATTTAGCCAATCATAAGTTTAAGAAGTTGAGAAGATAATTCGAATCGACGAGTCTCCGAGTAAGATGTCTTTATATCAGGATACTCGAATTCAAAATATTACTACTACTAGAATCTACCCTAGGAATAACTTTGAATTCTAGTAGATATGATCGTTGTATGTTATTACTGGAATTGTATTTTTCTGTTAGCACTATCCAGGGTAATATTATTGACAGTTAAAAATAACTGTGTCAAGTTTCCTCCGAATCTTGTCACATCGCTTTTACGAGTAGATGGTTTCAATAATTGATATAGTTAAGGTTGAGACATGAGTTCTAAGGTCTCAGTTTTTTCTTAGAAAGCTTAGAAGGTGGGTGGCGGCATTTACGTTGTTACGGCAGTTACGCTTATGGGCTCCGGTAATCAGTTAACACCAAGTGGGCCCGTAGCTCGTTCACCCATGTAAGCAATAAATAAATAAAATGTTATAATTGAAGTCTTTCGATCAAGTGGCGGTTACAAACACGTTCATTGTCGTAACGACGATAATTACTTTTTTTTTTTTAATTAATCCCTTCCTATATTTAAATACGGACAGTACACGACGCATGTTATTTACTTGTGCAACGTAGTGAGACAATTCACTCATGCAATTTGTCCGATTCGCTCGGCTAAGCACAGACAGTTAACAAACTACCGTACAACAGTTTCGCATAGTTTGTAAGTAACCTGTTAAACCTTGCAGCGTAATTTCGTTCTAAAATTTTCAAAAACAAAATACCTCATAATTAGTTATCCTAGAATTGCGTAGAATCTTCTAGTAAATTTGAATCGAACTGAAGATTTTTTTTCTTCGTTCGTTCAGAGTTCTTGAAAAGTTTATAAAATAACAGTTCTATTTTAAGCTGTGGTTTTAAGTCTGGCGTTATATACTGAAGGCTTTAGAAATTGACATACTTGTGTAGCAAATTCTCAGCGACTTGATTTTGAATCATTTAGGTTTGTATACTGGACTTATTTTATTGAGTTGTTGACTTGTATTGTGGGACACAGGATCAGCTTCTTCTTGGAAGTCAGAACCTCGCAATCACCGCTGTGGATTCTGCTTACCAAAGAATGGCATCGAGTGGCCCCTAAAAATGCCGCGATTTTTTCATAAATTGTCAAATCAAGACAAATCATAGCCACGTGGGCTCTTAATTCTTCAGAAAAGAAAAGCAGTCATAGAATAGAACTTATATTAATTACGACTTTACGGACGAGTTTATGGTAAAATAATATGTAGTTTTAGCTCGACGCAAAGATATAAGATATTATTTCAAGGTCGCTCTTGTCTGTTTGTAGCCGTGTAGACTGTTCATCTTATAATCTCTAATACCTTCTGATGAATATTCCTTTGATTAAGATACACTAACAACTCATTTAAATTTCTCACGAAATTATTGAAATTTATATCGCTAGTTTGTCGTGAATATGTTCCTTGACCGTTGGATACGATTTATATATTTGCCGAGTTTGGTCAAAATAGCAAGGATAAGGTCATCGATTAATGATCAAGTTACGTAATCGAATGTTTTGCTAAGTGTAAAGTGACGCCAGTGACATTTAAATTGCAAAAATTAATTGATTGTCAACCATGAAATTGTGGTACATATTTTTTTTAATATAAATCAAAACTAGTGCACTTTTGGTACAAAACCTTGTGAGTGTGAACGGAACGGTAGGCAGCGGCTTGGCTCTGCCCCTAGCATTGCTGACGGTAGCTGCAGACGGTAACCACTCACCATCAGGTGGGCTGTATGCTCGTCTGCCTAAAGGAGCAATAGAAAAAAAAATGGCCCACATAAATGTTTAACTGTAATATAAAATTATAAACCGACTTTTTTATATTAAACTGATGGAGTTCATAGTCCATTTGGCGTTAAATGTTTACCGACTTTGAAACAATCTTAATTGTGTTGTATGATTTCTATTTCATTTTTCAAAGTGGGAATCGGCGAAGGCTGAATGATTGCACATATTTGGGGGCTCACTGTATACTTATGTATATATTTACGTAGCGGTACATTCAATTGTATGTATCGTTATGTAAAACAATTTGAATGATTGTGTGTAGAGCGAATGACTTGGTGTGAGATGTCAGCGGACTCATCACGGTCGCTTCACCTGTGTTTGAACTGTTTGAAGTGATGCAATTTCGGCGGCGCTCTCAGGATCTAACACTATGATACGCGCTGTCACGACAATTTTCCAGAATTTTTCCAATAGTAGTAGTAGTAGTAGTAGTAGGAGATAGTTCCTTCGATATCCGTTTCCGCAATTTGGCAACAGATGGCGTTAGTTGTACAACCATAATATTTCTCGACCGTTTCCGATAGTACTAGTCTTTTCTATATCCTTTTCCGGTATTTGCTAATAGATGGCGTTACTCGTACTGGCATAATAATACCGCTAAAGCTTATTATTATTAACATTTATGTACTGTTCACCATTTACTTGCCCCGTTTCCTCGCAAAGTTCAATAAAACGGTTCGTTAAATGAACATTCACTGGTTTTAAACGAGGATCAATAAAAGTTTATTATATTAAAACTCTTTTTTTGGACTTTTTATGAACTGGTGTAACAAGTCCTTTAAGCAAAGTCTTATATTTTCTTCTTATATTCTGTTTTTATATTATAGAGATATTGTGTAGATTTAAAGAGATAGTTGATGTAGATTGTTATATTATAATCTTATATTCTGTGAGTATATCATAATAATATGTGAAGTTGATTAATTTGGAACTTTAATCAATTGAGATGAAATTAAAGAAAACCAATTAAGGAATGAGATAAAGTCTCAATAAAATAACGGTTATTTACAAACACTTTTTGGTGAACTTTTTGGAAGAGCCTGAGGGGCTGCATCCAGCGTGTTTGTTTTGATTTTTTCACGTTTGTAAACTTTCACAGGTGCTACAGTTACAAACGGATTAATAAATCGCCGTTATTACACATTTAAACATGAAGAAACACTAAGTTCATAAAATAAAACAAGACATTCACACAGCTATTCCCTACACGCGTTCCCGTTAAGAAGTAAAAAAAAAAAACATAATTTTGTTAAAAAGAAAAATACACGAAAGAATTTAATCAAAACTTTTGCAGCAACATATTATACGAAATACGCTATTTTATTAAATTTAAATCTACAATACCTTAAAATACGTTATAAAATGCTTTGTGGTTGAGCATTAGTGTACAGCGTACGCACACTGTTTAACTAGGGGTCCCGCAGTAGTCGAAATTCGACTATAATCAATTGTAATTATAAGTTTGAACATTATTAAGGTTCTATTTTCAAAGATTATTATACTTCTTTATTCACAGATTTCGCCAAGACCACACTATAGACAATTAATATTAAAGATAAACAATATTAATCTATTCTCAATTTGACCACAGAATTTAAACAATGACAAAAGTTTCCCAATTGACAGTAAACAAGGAGTAATTTTTTATATATGTGTTGTGTCAAATACATGGTAGTGTGTGTAATGATTTCTTTATTGATTTAAAGTATCTTTTATGCATTTTTAAAAAAAAAAGTTAGCATTGTGCACTTCTTCTCTATATTCTCCATAAGTGTCAGAAATTTCATACTCCTCCGTCCGCGCAATTTTCGTAAAAAGGGGTACAAAGTTTTTGCTTCATGTATTAATATATAGATTCCCATTAACTTTTTATCTACATAAATATTCGGAATTTATTCGAGTTTACTCGCAAAACGTCCTCTCAGGAGACCTATAGATTTACGAGCTACACATCCGAACCCTACACTCATCCTCCTGAATTTTCATGATATTTTTATTACCTTCGAAGGTATGATCAATGTAACCCCACTGACCATAACGCAGCTGTGATCTATCGTATCAGCAAACTCAAAAACAATTAGCGGGTAGTTATCATAAAATACAAGGCATTTGTAACTGATGCCTGAATTTCGCTTATTACGTTTTCAAGATAAGCTGGCGCATATACAAGTTCCGAACAAAAACATTCTGAGCGTCGATCTACCGAGCAACTTCACCCGCTTGGAATATCTTTCCTCTGTCGTTACCTCTAGGAACACATTGCAGTGGAGATGCATGTGATTCTTAATATTTATTTGATCACACTCGGTGTGACGTGGTTACCGAAGCCTACCTAAAAGTCTAAACTTGTAAGACACCTGTACGGGCAATACGTAACTAGTACCAATATGATTTGGGGCCTCCTGCCCAAAAAGCAGGAAGAATTTTGGAGGGAAAAGATAATCAACGAGGACATATGAAGTCGTCGTTGCCTAAAGGATAAGGCGTCCGGTGTATTCGTATCTAGCAATGCATCACTGTTCGACCCCGCTGACAAGTACCAATGTTTCTAATGAAATATGTACTTAACAAAAATGTTCACAGGAATAACATCGTGTAGTAAAAATCAAACCCGCCAAATTATAATTTGCGTAATTACTGGTGGTAAGTCGTCTTGTGAGTCCGCACGGGTAGGTACCACCAGCCCGCCTATTTCTGCCGTGAAGCAGTAATGCGTTTGGGTTTGAAGAGTGGGGCAGCCATTGTGACTATACTGAGACCTTAGAACGAATATCTCAAGGTAGTTGGTGGCATTTACGTTGTAGATGTCTATGGACTACGGTAACTGTAGGTGTTTCTACTATATTTATGTATATTAGTTGATATTACCACCAACCACTACCAAAGTAACCACTTAACATCAGGTGGGCCGTGAGCTCGTCTACCGACGTAAGCAATAAAAAAAAAATGTTGATGATGCATGTGAGATAAGAGAAAATACTAACTGTAGTTGTAGATGACTGGGTTGAATATCCAAATTGTCAAAAGACGCCGCTGAAAAACATTAAGTCTGAAATGAAATGCTATAGATAACTCTGTATACGTAACGAACAGAAAGGGCTCCAACACTTGACCTTTTAAGTTCTTTTGAACCTCAATTATCCGCGAACCGCTATTTATATCGTGCGGCCACAGAAAGGAAAAAGGATTTTATCAAAAGCCACGGTTCGATCAATTTTCCTGAGAAATATCTCGTAAAATAAATTCATTTATGGAGTGGAGTGTAAATTGTCCATTGAATTGTCTGATGTTTACATTTTTTGACTGGATGCGATTTTTTTAGTATTGTTGTAGACGGTTATTGGACCTCATGGCCCATCCGACTTTAAACCACTAACGGAACCTATAAATATCACATCTTGAGCGCCACCTTCAGACATGCGGTCAAAGTCTCGCTTTTTTTTGTACAACAGCATTGTATAATCGCTAATTATATTAGAAATCACGAGCACTGCCACTGTACCTGCGAAGGTTCCGGTATATGCATTAAAGAAGAAGTCAATAAAAAAAATAAACCGGATAAAGCAAGACGACTTCAAAATCCATTCATTATCAAAGAAAATTAAAAAAAAAACGTGTGCAATTCACACGTGGTAGAAGTGAAACTTTCAAGATAATGTAAAATTTCGAGAAGAGGATAATTGTAGGTTTTAGTAATGATCATGGTGATACAAACGTTGATAATTATTGTACATTTTATTCGTATATTACGAATATTACGTACCAAGCAGAGCACAAAGAGAATCACGAATATGAGAAACACTGTATAATGCTTCCTATCTCATTTTCTCCCACGTTAAATCTTACGAATTTATGTGTCTATCTCTTTTTACTGTCGCTTTTTCGTTTCATTGACTTTCGAATCACAATGATGTTAAAGAAGTTTTTACTTCAGAGATATGGCACATTCCTGTCTTAAATCAGTATTAAAAACCATAATATTCAAATTAAATGTAACATTTTAAATGAAACGATACGATACGTTGTTTCCTGATAACGCATCTATATATTAATACGTGAAGCAAAAACTTTGTATCCTTTTTTACGAAAATTGCGCGGACGGAGGAGTATGAAATTTTCCACACTTATAGAGAACATAGAGAAAAAGTGCAAAATGCTAATATTTTTTTAAAATAATGCATAAACGATACATTAAATCAAAAAGAAAACATTACACACACTACATACCATGTATTTGACGAACACACGCATGCATACTATTTATTGTCAAACTTTTGTTCTTGGCGTCTGTTATCAAATTGAGAATAGATTAAATTAAATATTCTTTGTCTTTATTAATATTTTTTATAGTGTAGTCTTGGCGAAATTTGTGATTATAGAAGTATAAAATACAATCATAATAGTGTACAAACTTACAATTCCAATTAATTATAGTCGAATTTCGACTACTGCGGGACCTCTAGTTCAGATAATTTCGCATATGAATTCGTTCTCGGAATCGATAATTCTTGAACTTTGACAGTAGTAATCTTGACCTCGTCGTTTCGAACCGGGTGCTGGAGGTCGTATCCTGGTGAGGACAAAACACGTTTTATTTGTCACTGACTTTGTAAAGGTGCTGCAAATTATTGGAACAACCGTACCATCTCATAATTGTTGGAGTTTACTCCTTTAGAATCGATTTACATATATAGGCCCGGGGTATGAAAATTATGGGGACCAAAATCGTACTAGCATGTCACACGAAATGCGTTATGCGCCTGCGCCGGCAGTCCGCCACAAAGCCTCGTACTGATCGCGCGTTTCTCTCATTATTGTATTTTCATATATTTGTTAGTCGTTTGTTTTGTGTCTCGTTAATTTGTTAATAATCTGTAGTGTATCGTGTTGTCGTAATATAGAACTATTTCTCGTATTGTTTCGTTTAATTTTTTATATCCAGTAAACTCCAGTCGTGCGTCGGAGCGGACACACACACTTTTTTTTTATTTAAAATCAACTCGTTTGTCCCACGGGGAGTGGCTTCGAGGGATTTTTCAAGATGAACCCGTCATCTTCCATCTATCATCACACTACCATTCTCCGGAGCATAGTTGATCTTTACTATGCGGAACCTCTGCGCTCAGCCACAATTCTCAGTGGTAGGCGACTCAGCTATGCCCCCAGTAATGTTGTCGCCTGTGAACATCGGTGGTCACTTGCCTTCAGGTCGATTGTATGCTCGTCTACCTTCAAAGGTAGTAACATTATATCGACCAATCGTGAACATATGTGGAGGTATCTTCCTGTCTATATGTCCGCGCAATTTATCTGCTGCCACTACGGAACCCAAGGGGGAGCGCGCATAACTTTATATACTACATTTGGATCTTTCTTTGAATGTTCTCCTCTGTCTCTTTTCGCCACCTTTTTGGTAGAGATCTATGCATATACTATAGCACCAAATTCTGGTATTGGATGGGTACTCCAACTACAGCTCCTTGGAGAAAACGTATCGTTAAAACGGTTTCTCATTGCGAACAGAAGGGTGTGACGCCCGTGCGGATTGTGCATTTTTTTCAGCGAAGCAAACACGCGCTCTTTGTGCTTATTGCTCAAATTCGTATGGAGTTGGAACAGCGGCAAACGTAGGGAAGATGTTCGAATTCTATACAAATTTTAGTTAACTTTTACGCGATCGAGAAGTTAAAAAACTCGCACTAGGCACGTTGTGGTTCTGAACTTTGATTTAACATTAAAAAAAAACGGCTGTCGTGTAATTAATATATCGGTCCAAAATACAACCAACCATAAATTCGGGTTTTATGATTGGTCGTAAACCTCTTATATGTTGTTATTATTTTTTTATTCTTAATTTATTTTTTATTAATAAAAATTCAATAAAGCTGTTTAACTTTAGCACAACAGTGGAACGTTGATCGAAATTATAAATTCGATAAAAACATTCGTTCATATGCAATTACATACATACATACATTTCCTTATATACACATTAATGTAATCATAAAAAAAATGTTCACGGCAGTATGGCCTTTTTCGAAAAACGCTCAAGTTCTTGCCTTGGGCCAAGAACCAACCTACGTCCCTGACTTTCGCTTATAGAGCGCGTTCGAGATTTTAATTTATTTTCATATTATATGACTCGTTTTATGATAATGATGTATACATATACATATAACTTATTGGCGGTAGGACCTCTTGTGAATCCGTGCGGATAGGTACCACCACCCTGCCTATTTCTGCCGTGAAGCAGTAATGCGTTTCGGTTTGAAGGGTGAGGCAGCCGTTGTAACTATATTGAGACCTTAGAACTTGAGCCCCGTGAGCTCACTTACTAGCCCGGTGACGCTGATATGGCCTCTCTAGACCATCAGCTTAGATAGGAAAAAAAAAACCGAACTCCTCCTAAACGGCTGGACCGATTTGAATGAATTTTTTGTTTGTGCTTCGATGGCGCTGCAGTCAGTATCTAGGCTATTTATCTATATTGCAACTAAACGGCTGGATCGACTTGAATGCATTTTTGTTTGTGTATGCATTCACGGGACAACGTTTGTCTTATAATTTTTGATTAAGGCACTTCAATTCGATATATAGGAGTAGCATATTACGGTCTCTGTTAATATATTTTGTCAACAGAAGTGGCGATGGACTCCGGTCGAGCGTTCTGTCCCCGCGTCGGATGCGACACGGTTGTGTCCGTCAGGGCCGCCAGTCCCGCACATTGTCCGACGTGCCGGCACGATTTCTGCTCCCAGTGCAACCAGGAGGTAAGACCGAAATAATTGATTTAGATAAATCATTCGAAGATAATTTATTAAAAACAAGCGGCCCGCTCCGGCTCCGCTCGGGTCTTTAACAAAAATTTCAACGATATTTGACATTGTTTTATTTTTTTAAATAAAAGAACACTTGTTGCGGCGGCATAACTATAATAGTTTTAGACATATGCTGTCGCGACACTTTTTGTAAATAATAATGTGTTCTATAAAGTCGTAGTACATTATTTTATTCTATCATCAATAATTTTCGCAGGGCACGCGATGTAAAGAATATTTTAGGTAATTTTTTTACACCTTGGGTTACATTATTGGAGTTTTAGTAAGGATCCCTAATTTTTTCCAAAAAAACATTATAGCCTATGTCACTCGGGAATAGTGTAGCTTCCAAACAGTGAAAGAATTTTTCAAATCGGCTCTGTAATTTCGGAGCCTATTCAATACAAACAAACAAACAGATCTTTCCTCTTTATCTAATACTAGCGACCCGCCCTCGCTTCGCTTCGGAAACATTAAAACATACATGAAACAAAAAAAAAAAAAATAAAAAAAATTTTAAAAAAAGTTGCCTATGTTCATCAGGGACAATGTCGGCTTCTAATGGAAAAAGAATTTTTCAAATCGGTCCAGTAGTTTCGGAGCCTTTTCGAAACAAACAAACAAACAAATCTTTCCTCTTTATAATATTAGTATAGAAAAATATAAAATTCTCGTGTCACAACGTTCGTTCCCATACTCCTCCGAAACCGCTTGACCGATTCTCATGATTTTTTTTATGCATATTCAGTAAGCCTGAGAATCGGCTACTATCTATTTTTCATACCCCTAAATGATTAGGCTTGTCCACCCCTAACTTTTTTTTTTATTTGGGCATTTTTTTTTGTTATAATGAGGTATTATGTGGTTGAATGAGGTTTTGTTATTTTTATTATATATTCCCTCATCGTTCACAGCACTACATACCTCTTTCACTCATTTACCACATCCTTACACACTTACAATAAGTTTAAGTTTTTTTTTCTACACTAGAAATTCCCTAGAAATTTTATATATGGCAAAACAAGGTTTGCCGGGTCAGCTAGTAATATTATAAGTATATAAGTATAGATGATCTTGACTGAATTATAGTTGCACTAGCTTGGAACTTAGCTCGCAGATGTTGTAGTACAAAAAAAGAATCAAATGAACATTCAGACTCTTATTATAATTTACATGAGTAAAAGTAAAAAAAGTACGAAAAGTAAACCAGCTATAAACCAACTGTTTATTTAAGTTATATTATAGTATTTATTTATTAGATGATTTATATCTATAGCATATTTATTGGCATTGAAAATTACTAAACTAGAGACAGTGAAGATATAATTACTAGAGACACACATATAAACAATTCTATAATCAATACATATTTTTTTACCCACAAACTAAATAAAGATGTAATTACTTTTCTAAACATGTCTAATGTCATTTAATCTAATTCTACCTTTGTAAATCTAATTCTGTCTAATTTATCGCACAATCTTATTTTAAGCCGCAAAACCACTAAAACATGCAGTTTAAATATAAAAACTCCACTAGTGTTTCATCTAAAGCCATATCTCAGTTTCGGTAAAAAAATAAATTTCAATTCCAAACATAGTTAAATTTGCAACACTAATGATATAAAATTAATTATTCAATTTTTAATATATTTAGGTCTCATTTGTATTTCTAAAATACAGGTTAAACTTGTTTCTAATCATAATATCATGTAAAGCAAATTCTACCACTGACCTCTTAGTCCTTAGTTAATTCGTTAGAAATTTTCTATCGGAATTAATTTAAATTCTACATTTATTCGTATATCTAAATAGGTTCGTATCAATATATTATACACACACATATGCATGCACAGTTATTTTTGGAAAACATTATTTATTTTACACGCTTTTATTAGCTTGACATATTTTGCTATATTTTTTTACATTTATCGATCTAATGGAAATTAGTTAAAATAAAATTGCATTGTTCTTGAATTTAGAATCTGTCATTCTCATATGAATATTTAGCTAATAAATGTTTATATTTTCGCATCAATCTTTGCTAAATGTTTAATGTGTTTAAAAATTAATGTTCGTTTGACGGACTAGTCACTAAATTAATTACTAAGTCACTTAATCACTAAGTTAACTTTTACGCTATCGAGAACGTTAAAAAACTCGCACTAAGCACACTGGTGAGATGACGCAGACGTCATGTGATAATATGGAGTTGCGTTTAGTCGGGTGCAACCGCTTGAATACTTGTTTAAGTATGCCACAAGTGATAGAGATATTGAAAAGTTCTCTGTTTTTGATCGAGAAAGAAGTACTGATCAAATTAGTGAAGGAAAGAATCCGAATCATATCCTGTCCGCAAAACAGAAGATTTTATCTAGGGAAACGAATACCAACCAAGCCGGCAACTCTATGTCGCTTACTTTAAAAGATGACTTAGGACGTGCTGTTTATCACAATATTTCCGACGATTCGAATACTGTACAGTTTTCGCGGTCGCGAACGACTAAGATCTTATTTGTCGATAGTAAATTATTGTAACTACCGTCTGTTTTTGTAAAAAAAGAGTTAACTTTTTCATTTCATATCGTATATCTTTAAACGAACAATTCTTATATTTAATCTGAATCTCGGAAACGGCTCTAACGATTTTCATAAAATGTAGTATGCAGGGGATTTCGGGGGCGATAAATCGATCTAGCTATGATTTATTTTCAGAAAATGTTGTTTTATTCATGTTATCAATAATCAACTCTTCCCGACATCTGTTGGCGAATAATAATACTATTTTTGTTAATTGAGGGCAACTAACCGCTTTAAAGACACAACAAGATGGCGTTATCAAAAAAAAAACCGAGCAAAGCTCGGTCATCATCTAGTCACACATTATGCACGTATAATATGTATAAATATTTTATATTTAAACATATTCATAACTCCGTGCTTTGTAAACTATGATCCTCTCAGCAAGAGAGGAAGATACGGCCAAGAAAAAGGAATCCAACTTTTTTTTTGAGTAAGTGCCTATTTCAACTGATAATTGGCCACAACCTTTAAATAAATGTTTAAAGGGCAATTAAGATAATTTGGAATTAGCTTAATATTATGAAATGCTTTTAATGTATAAATTAACTTACATGATGATAAATGCTTCACGTAACAGAGAAGAAAAAAACGATGGTTTTCCTTGTAACAAAATATATGGTGAGACCAAGTATTAGTATAAGAAAATGACCTTTACTTTGAAAATGTGAAGGAGACGATAATGTGAGGTATTTAATACCTCATAACGTTCTGTAAGTGCTGTCACAAAGCAAGATAACACACGTAAATGAAATAAAATCTTTAATTTTATCGCCCTTTAAAATAGTTATGTAGATAATATTTACTCATTGGAGATTCTGAGGATGCAAAGAATGCTTGGGTTTCTCTATATATTCTACCGTCTATGGTAAGAGGGTAGTGGTCTAAATTATACTCGATATATCTATATATTAATACGTGAAGCAAAAACTTTGTATCCCTTTTTACGAAAATTGCGCGGACGGAGGAGTATGAAATTTTCCACACTTATAGAGAATATAGAGAAGAAGTGCACAATGCTAATCTTTTTTTAAAATAATGCATAAAAGATACTTTATATCAATAAAGAAAACATTACACACGCTACATACCATGTATTTGACGCATACACGCATGCATACTATTTAATGTCAAACTTTTGTTCTTGACGTCTGTTATCAAATTGAGAATAGATTAAATATTGTTTGTCTTTGTTAAGATTTTTTATAGTATAGTCTTGGCGAAATTTGTGATTATAGAAGTATAAAATACAATTATAATAGTGTACAAACTTACAATTCCAATTAATTATAGTCGAATTTCGACTACTGCGGGACCTCTAGTTACCATTACTTCGCTCGTAACCTTATTAGAGTTTTTACGTTTACGAGAGTTTAACAGTTATATCTGAAGCTACTCACTTCTAATACAGTGGCTTTTCAGTGGTATTTTTTCTTCTTTTGTTAAAGCACTGTATATACCTGCAACTAACGCAGCTATCTCTTTAAGGAGTTTAAGGAGGGGTTCCTTATACTATTTCTTTTTACTCTATTCCTGAACCTAAAAAGCAGATTTCATAGTAATGGAGTTTGTCAGCCAAGTTGTCAGTCTATTGATTTTAATAGCTTCGTTGGTGGAGTGGCTAGTAACTCTGACTACTGTACTCAGTACTACGTCTGTCTGTCTCTGTCAAAAATATAGGATGTAATTACGCTATAAAATTGAGACTTTGTCCTAGTGCCTCAAACTGAATGGCGGCTTTCACGTCTTGATGTCCGTGAAGTTTTAACCACTTCAAACTGGGTGAGCCGTAAAGACGTCCACCTATCTAGTGCAGAAATAAAAACGGTAAATGTCCCACTCTTGAATCCCACGATTCGTCTGCCCTACGCACCAAAAACCTCATCATAGATATACAAACATATATGTAGGATTTACATAATATAAAAAAACACCCGCCTCTAATTATATTATTTAAGTTTATTTAATTCGCCAATTAAAAGCGATAGTTGAGTACGTTGATCCGTTTTATTTGGAAAGTCACACTCCTATCGCTGCCCTCAAAATAATTCTGAGTTTCAATCATTACGATGTAGATACTAATCAAATTATTGTCTTACCAACAATTCAATCAGTTCAGCTAATTGAAAATTCACATTCGTTGCTTCATTCGCAAAAAGATAAAACCACAACAGACAAAGGATGTAACTTATTATACTCGTTTAGCGAAATCAAATATTATTCGTGTACACTATAGTCATATATATAATATATGTATGTATAACATAGGAAGGATAATGTAAACATTTACATACCTACTTCTGAATCGTGGATCACGTTATGTGAACGTGAACACAGAAATATGTAGAGTGGGGAAAATTATAGCTGCATTGT